TTGCGGTGCAGGGCGTCCCCCACCACCATTCTTGCCTTGGGGGGGCTTCTTCCTCCCAGAAGCCCCCTCTGATGGTGGGAAGGATTCCCACCGGCGGGTCAATGGGCCAATGGCCAGCTGACCACCGCGGGTGAGGCCGGAGCTGGCCTCTCCCTCTTCGTGGGCAGCCTTCACAAGGCTGCCCAAGGCTCCCCAGCAGGCACTCGGCCTGCAACAGCTTCCGCAAGAAAAAAAAAGAGGGGGGGGGGGGGCTGTCCAGATGACATTCTGGTCAATCCGCAATTAATTTACCACAAACCAGGAAAACCTTGGCTTGTGGCAAATTAATTAGATAGTGGATTTATTCTGTGCCTTCTAGGAAGGTGTGGGATAAACCCACTACTTCCTGTGTCGGGACTACAATCCAGACACCATTCCGACATTTTTCCGGACTAACTTAGTCTGTAAAACTGTGGGAATCCCATCCCCCTCCCCCACAGCCCCCAAACCCCTTTTAAAAGTAAACTAAATTTAAGTAAGTTTATTTTCCTTTTAAAAGTGGTTTGGGGGCTGAGGGGGACGGGGGTCTGCAGATGTTCTGCAGGGCCAGTCCTAGAAGAACATCTGGACACCCACCCCAGAAAGCATGCGGTTTCAGGGTTGGGTGTGTACGGGTCCCCAGGAACATCCCTGTTTTTAAATCACAATTGCTCCTGGGATAAAGGGCTGTCTGGAAGCGCCTTTGGACTTTGGTTCCCACAATTCCTAATTTCTAGTAAGCTGACTGGGATTTCAGCTAATTGAAGCCCAAAACACCAGGAGAAGCAAAATTTGAGGGTCTATCCAGACAGGACACAAAATGTGCACCCTCCTGCATTTTCCTGAGAGGTGTCCAGACGACGGACCATGTAAACGCGAGTGCATTGGGCACAAAGCAGGAAAATCCTGCTTTGTGCTGAAGTAATTTAATTGCTCGAAAGACATGGGTCTTTCAGAAGACCTGTGTCTTTCCAGGTGAGGGAGTATGTAGATGGGACCGGGGTTGCGCCGCGCAACTTCCGCTTCCCCTCTATAAATCTACCTCAGATTTCTTGTGCTCCCGGAGCCCAAGAAATGTGAGACAGGCCCCTCCCCCTCCCCACACCTCTTAAAACTGCCTTTCTAAAAGGAAAACAACCTGCCCCCATTTTCCTTTCTCTGGAGTTCTCCTGGGTCGTACCAATGATGCACGAAGGGGGGGAGGGGGAATTGCGCCTGTACTGTTCCCCCGGCCCCTTGGTGCACCATTGGCATGACCCAGGAGAACTCCAGAGAAGGGCAAATGGTGACAGGGAGAGTTATTTTCCTTTTAAAGGGATATTTAAAGAAGTTTTCTTCTTTGTCCTGGTTTCCTGTGAGAAATCCTGGCAGGGCATGTGGACCCTCCCCTCCAGGAAAGCACACACATTTGGGGGGGGGGAGGTAGACTAGAACAGGAGAACATTTGTGTTTTTAAAATGCCATTGTTCCTGGATTAAACTGCTGTGTGGAACCGCCCTGAGAAACACTGCTTTAGACTGTGAGGGACTACTTTGAGGTTGTCCTTGTTCACAGGTTTGTCCAGGCAAGTGACAGCCACTGATGGGCCAGCTTTCCCCAAGGGCTGCATTGGAATTGCATTTGTATTTTCCATTGTAGCCTCTGAGGAAGGCCAGCCCATTAGTGGCTGCGAGTTTTCTGGACAAACCTGTCAAGCAGGAGGCCATCCCCCCTCTTCTGGAGCTGTGTCTCCCAATGGGGCTTGATGCCCCTTGGGTTCACCTTGGGCCCCCTACCCACCCCACCTCACCTGGACTCATGTGGAAGGAGGCCTGGCTGGTGGGGGTCATGGAGGAGGAGGGGCAGTGCTCCCCACTGACACCGCTTGTGGTTCTTACAGGGCCTTTCCGGACAGAGGACGCCAAGGGACAGTGACCCATCGAGGGACATGAACATCGAGGGACATGAACATCGAGGGACCCTGATCAGCGAGGGACTCTGGGCATCGTGGGACGCTTGACATTGAGGGACCCTGATCAGCGAAGGACCCTGGCCATCGAGGGACCCTAACCATCGTGGGACGCTTGACTTTGAGGGACCCTGACTGGCACCTGTAAGAACAAGAAGAGAGAAGACAGGACTTATAAATGGAATATAAATGTATTTGGAATATAAATGTATTTGGATATCTTGCTTTCTTGTAAAAGTTTATAGTGTATGTTTGTATTTTCCATGTAATACGATTGTCTTTCTTGTGTAGGAGAGGATCCCACTGCCCTGTGGAAGCGCTGCTCTTCCCCTTTGGCTGCTCTGGCTGCCTCCTGTGGATCCGGGGCTTGCAGGGGAGGGAGGCCCAGGCCTCTCTGGCAGAGGAGAGTCTCTAAGGCCCCCCTCCCTCCTCTGCAAATCCCAGGACTCACAGCCCAGCCGCTGGAGGGGAAGAGATGCCCTTGGACAGCGCAGTGAGAGAGGCCCCCTAGTCTGTGTATTGTAGTTTTATCTTGTGGATTTGTGTAGTCTAATATTGTATACTTTAATGTCTGGCTAGAATAAATGTACCCATTTCTTTTTAATGTGGCGCTTTCCTTAGATTCCTTTTGGGAGGGAGACCCAAACTGCCCAGGACCTGAAACTCAGGCCCCATCCACACTGACCCTTCCATGCAGGTTGAACGGCATATGAGCTGGATCTTTATTTCCCTCTCTCCCAGGATCTGATCCCAGATTATCTGCTTTGAACTGGATTATATGAGTCTGTACTGCCAGATAATTTTGTTAAACTGATAATCTGGGATCACATCCTTCTACGTAGGGTAGATCCAGCCTGAGTCTGCACTCACCAGATTATACAGTTCTCCCTGTATGAAATGACAGTGTAGATAAGGCTATAGGCCCCATCTACACTACCATATAATCCATTTTCAGAATGCATGTTCACTGTGGTTCAGCCTGGATTATATGGCAATGTAGGGCCCCTTCTACACAGCTTGATAAAATCCAGATTCTCTGCTTTCAACTGGATTCAGATAATCTGAACTGTACATTCAGATAATCCAACTGTACATTCAGATAATTATTCAGATAATCAATTCAAAGCAGATAATGTGGACTATCTGACTTGATATTCCGGATTATAGGGCAGTGTAGAAGGGTCCTAAATGGGTCCTAAGAGGAAGACGTTAGAGAAAGTGACAATGTTGCTGGGTCTACACTGCCTTATATCCCAGGATCTGATCCCAGAGTATCTGCTTTAAACTGGATTATATGAGTCTACACTGCCAGAAGCAGATAATCTGGGATCAGATCCTGGGATAAACATGAAATGGCAGTGTAGATAAGGCTATAGGTCCCATCTACACTGCCATATAATCCATTTTCAGAAAGCACATTAACTGTGGTTCAAACAGGATTATATGGCAGTGCAGAGCCCCTTCTACACAGCTTTATAAAATCCAGATGATCTGCTTTGAATTTGATTATTTTGTAGTGTAGATTGATTTAGATAATCCAGTTCAAAGCAAATAATGTGGAATATCTGCCTTGATATTCAGGATTATAGGGAAGTGTAGAAGGGCCGTAGATGGGGCCGAAGGGGAGGAAGTTAGAGAAGGTGACAGTGTTGCCATGTAGACTGAATCTATACTGCCCATGATCTGATCCCAGTTTGAAATTGGATTATAAGAGTCTACACTGCCAGATAATCTGGGAGAAGCAGATAATCTGGGATCAGATCCTGGGATATGGGACAGTGTAAATCAAGCCTGAGTCTGCAATGACCATATAATACAGATCAAACAGCATGAAATGTTAATGTAGATAAGTTTCTAGGCCCCATTGACACTGGCACAGAATCCAGTTTCTGAATACATATTAACTGTGGTTCAAACTGGATTCTATGACAGTGTAGATGGGACCATAGTGTATAATCTCTGTTGCATAGGCTTTGTAACTAGGGTTGTCATGTTGGGCAACCCTAACATCAGTTGTGACTTAACATTATATTATTATATAGTGTGTTTTGTCTAGTTTCCTGTAACCATTTATATAATGTCTGCTGTCTAGTGTTAAAAGATCTTTGCTTAGAATAAATGTAACCGTTTCTTTTGAATGTGGCGCTTTCCTTGGATTCCTTTGGGGAGGGAGACCTCAACTGCCAGGACTTACAACTCAGGCCCCATCCACACTGAGCCTTCCATGCAGGTTGATCTGCACTGTAGGGCGAGTGTAGACTCATCCATATATGTGTGTACTGAATATGTAATCCAGTTCAAACTGCATGCAATGTACAGTTTAGATGGAGCCAAAGGCCTCATTTGCACTGCCGTATAATCCAGTTTTAGAATTCAGGTTAACTGCAGTTCAAAATGGATGATGTGGCAGTGTAGATGGGGCCTACGAGGAAGAAGTGAGAGAAGACAACAATGCTACTATGTAAGATGGATCTACACTGCCCTATTCCCCAGGATCCAAACTCAGATTATCTGCTTTAAACAGGATTATATGATCCTGCACTTCCAGATAATCTAGTTTAAACAGATTATTTGGTATAGGATCCTGGGAAATGGGACCGTGTGGAAGGGATCGTAGTCTGTGCAAAATGTGTGTGTCATTAAACTGTGTCATGTTGAGATCATGTTGTGACCAGGATTACATGGCTGTGCCAATAAAGTTTGTAAAATTTCATTAAGAAGAACTGTTTGTGTGTGTTTTTTTAAAAAAAGAACTGTTTGTGCATGTTTCGCTGGGGATCTGCTCCTTGTAGAAATGCAAAAGTGTGGATAGTAGCGAACCCTGTTCTTAGTGGTCTGCAAAATGGAGAATGCGTCCAAGGTGTGAAGCTGTGACTAAAAAGGCCAATGTGATTCTAGACGGCATCAGCAGGAATCGCTTGTCTCAATGGAGGGGAGTGACAGACCCATTCTGTGCCCGTTTCTGGAAACCACAATCCAAGAAGGAGAGGGAAGGCGGAAGGGTCCAGGGAAGGAAGGGCCACCCAAAGGGTCAAAGATGCTCAAAGAGCATCCTTTCTCTCTTTCCGATTCCCATCTCCTTTTCTTTTCCCTTTCTCCTTCCTTTCCCCCTTTCCCTTTTCTTTTCTTTTCTTTTCTTTTTTCTTCCGTTTCTCCCTCCATTCCCCCCCCTTAATTTTCTTCCATTCCTTTCCTTTCCCTTCACCTTCTTTCTTTTCCACTTTTGATTCATTTGCATTCTCCTTTCCTTTCTATTTTCCTTTCTCCTTTCCTATTCCTGTTTCCCTTTCTCCTTCCTTCACCTTCTCCCCTCCTTTCTTTTTTTCTTCTCTTTTTCCCTCCCTTTTTGTTTCCATTTTCTTTCCTATTAAGATGGTTTGCCAATAATTCTTTTCAGAGCCAAACTAGACATCCCAGGGAAGAATGCACAGGATGCTTGGAGCCGGCCAATGCCAGTCTCTGTGAACAAACGCCCCAAAAGGGCAGAGCAATGAATATGTGCCTTCCCTAGTCATAGGGTGACTCCACACTGTAGAACGAATGCCTTTTGAGCCCATGTGAATGGCTTTGGCTAAAGGCTATGGAATCCTGGGAGTTATAGTTTGGCTGAGAAGGACAGTGCCGATGTGGCCTACAGTTTTGGTCGTGTCCGGAGCAACTTGAGAAACTGCAAGTCGCTTCTGGTGTGAGAGAATTGGCCGTCTGCAAGGACGTTGCCCAGGGGACGCCCGGATAAATTAATGTTTTTATCATCCTTGTGGGAGGCTTCTCTCATGTCCCCACATGAGGAGCTGGAGCTGATGGAGGGAGCTCATCCACCTCTCCCCGGATTCAAACTTGCGACCTGTCGGTCTTCAGTCCTGCCAGCACAGGGGTTTAACCCACTGCGCCACCAGGGGCTTTGTGGCCTACAGTGCAATTGTGCTATAGAATTAACTCACTGTTGAAGTAAACAACAGTCATTTTACTTATAGAAATATATATATTGAAGAGTCCAGGTGATCATTTATTTTATTGTACTGCCAAATAATACCGAAGAAAGATGGCACGGTTCAAGCACCCACACGCGCTACAGTTCAAGTCACTATGTTAACAAACACGTTACTTTCAATAGCGCTAATGTAAAAAGTAACACTTAAATGCAACTATTTCATAATTGTTTACTTTCTAGGAAGTAAGTCTTGTGATTGTTACTAAAGACTCTTCCAAAGTAACTTCCTACATCAAAATATGCCAACAGGATGACATCAACCAACATTTTCAATAATCATGCAAGGATTTGAAGAATGCATCTACACTGTAAAATTTGTGCAGTTTGATGCGCTCAGGGCTTTGTCAAACTAAAGTCCACGTGATTCCACAACATTGAGCCGCCACAGTTCGAGTGGTGCTAAACCAATGTAGACAGGCCCTGAGATCTTCTTCACTCATTACGATGTGAGATTAATGGGAAGTGGAACAGACTGAACAAACTCAATGTCCTTAAGGAAGAGAGGTGTTTACCCCTCGGTCTCAGGCGGCGAAGCCTCTGGGGTGGCCTCAATCAGGAAAGAGGTGCCAGGAATAAAATCTGGGTGTGAATGACTCCCCCAAATCCCCTTCCGCCCCATGGCAGGTCCTGAAATGCCTCTTAAGCATTTCCAATCCAATAAGCCTTTATTGGCATATACATAGCAAAAAGGGATAATTTACAGTGCAAACCATAGAAAAGGGAACTTCACATTTGCTGCACATTTAGTTTAAATACTTCGTTCAGGAATCTGAAAGGCAGCCGTTAAAATCGTGACAATTTAGAAGCATCATTACTTTGGGTCACGATGGTTTTTCAAGGAATCTATAATTTGTGGTAGTAAGCTAGATCTTGGTTCCTGGTCAAGTGGGCAGTGCAGAAGATGCGGGATGGAATCCAGCTGTCTTGTGCTACAGGGACAATGGCTCTTATTGCTTGGTAGACTGTGAAGTCTTCCTCTATGGAGCGGAGATGGCATAATATGAAATCTAGCCAGCATGTAGGCTCTCCTGTAAGAGGGGTTGGTGAGTGCTGCAATAGAAAAGGCTGGGTTTCCCTGTGTGGAATTGCCATGTTCATAGGTGAACAGGATTTATTGCCCAAGCACAACAATCTATATATATATAAATGCTCTGTGCATAATGAGTACCTTAAAAACAAAAGAACCAAGGAACGAAATCACACCAAATTTGGCAGCAAGACATCTCACAACACAAGGAGTGACCATCACTCAAAAACTTGTGATTTTGTCATTTGGGAGTTGTAGTTGCTGGGATTTATAGTTCACCTATAATCAAAGAGCATTCTGAACTCCATCAACGATGGAATTGAACCAAACTTGACACACAGGACTCCCATGACCAACAGAAAACACTAGAAGGGTTTGGTGGGCATTGACCTTGAGTTTGGGAGTTGTAGTTCACCTACATCCAGAGAGCATTGTGGACTCACACAATGATGGATCTGGACCAAACTTGGCACAAGCACTCAATACGTCCAAATATGAACACAGATGGAGTTTGGGGGAAATAGACCTTGAGATTTGGGAGTTTTAATTACTTGGATTTATAGTTCACCTACAATCAAAGAACATTCTGAAGCCCACGAACGACAGTATTGGGGCAAACTTCCCACACAGAACCTTCATGACCAACAGAAAATACTGTGTTTTCTGGTGGTTTTTGGTGACCCTTCTGAAACCCCCTGGTGACTCCCCCCCCCCCCCCCCCCCCCCCCCCGGGGGTCTTGACTTCCTAGGTTGAGAAATGCTGCCTTAAGGCCATCCAGTCCAACTCCCTTCACCAGGGCAAGAAAACATAATCAAAGCCCTCCTGACAAAGGGACATCCAGCCATTCACACACACACACACACACACATATATATAAATGACAGCTGCAGTATCAAAGATTTGAGAGGGACTCCTATAAAGAAGGACAATTCTATGTTGCATGTTCCAGAGTAGGCAAACCAGACAATCTCCACATCAACACTGACAAAGAAACCATTTACCCACAAGCATAAAGAAATTACATATATTAGAAACCAACACCTTCTCATTACTTTATTTTCCAGATCACCAGACTGGGCCACAGCAACGCATGGCAGGGGACTGCTAGTAGGTTATAATCCCTTTCTAGCAGCCTCTTTTTAAGAAGGGTAAAGATCTAGGTGAAAGTTAGCAAGTTCAAGAAGTCGCTATTATTGCCCAGTTCCCTGATCTTTGCTAGAACTGTTGAGCACCATTTGGAGTGATGGGAGTTTGCTCAAGGTGAGTTGGGTCAGAAAGTTGCTGGGGCTTTGGTAGTGGATAGATAACACAAATTCGATGAAGTTTAGCC